CCTTTTTAATGACACTTGCCTAACTCATTTCCGGAACATTCTGAGAGGGAGGAAGAAACAAACCTCCTTGGACAATGTTTTTTTCTAAACGGCCTACAGGTGAAAGCGAGAAAAATGTAGCGAAAAAGGCAAAGACCAGTGAGGATATCTAATTTATTTCTTTACATTCTCTTTTTTTGTTTTTGTGCAATAAATATTTGATATTTATAAATACGTGTTTATTATTTAAAACCACGTAACAAAAATAACTGGGGTGACATTTAGAGCTTGGAACGGATTAATGGTAGTTCAATTGTTTTGTATGGGAAAATTTGCTTCGAGATACGAGTAATTCAAGATACGAGCAAGGTTGCGGAACGAATTAAACTCGTATGTCGAGGTACCACTGTATACCCTTTTTATTTTATTTGACATATCGGACGCGATATCCCAGCTTGGGATACTTTTTTTTTGCGCCTAAATACTTTACATTTTAGCAACTTATATACAATTCATGGAAAAGAAAAACATAAACTGAATAGTTAGGCAGTAAAGTATAGTATAGGCATTATGCTTTAAATTGAGTTTTCGTCATATATTTATTGAATTGATTTGTGATCAATATAAAATTCGTCGATACTTTTTATCAAATGTTATAATCGCAAGAAATGTAGTGTCTACAGTTAGTCTTTCTAGTTTAATTGAGGCTGTGGTGCTTATGCACCAGTTATGATAATATCTGGTTTTTCGAGTTAACTGAGAAGATAATTAAGAAAAAGGCATCTCCTTATCGTGCAACTAAAAGTTGCTGATGGCTTGCGCCATCTGTCGGAATAAATATCAACTATTCGTTGATTTTTTAAATTATTCCAGAATTGGCCAAATACCCATTCTTGATTAATCAAGAAAAACTAACTACGTACCCGTTTCGAGCTGTTGGCCCGCGTGGGAAGCTAATGTCTGCCATTTTTCGAAAAGATTGGCTACATTGGTTTTCCCAGTTTATTAAAGCTATAGTGTGTAAGTCATGTATTTTCTACTACCAGAAATTGTGTCTTCAATTGAGGCTTTCTTATTTTACCGGAGCTGATGCTTACCAATTTTCATCACCAGAAACGATTTATAATTGAAATTCCGAATTAACTAAAGATAGTTGTGTGTGTGTGTGGACAGAAAAAAATTAAAATCTTGAAATTAATTAATATATTTTCAGAAACCTTTTTTATAAGTGTGTATCGATCTAACTTTTTCCCCTCAGCCACTTTGTCTATATCAATTTTATGAACTCTGTAGAATAATACATGTAAATTCGTAAATATTTAATTCTAAGTTATAATTCGTTTGCTGTTTTATTTCCTCTGTATTAGGCGCAAATATTTCAAAAGAGCGCCTGATTGATTAAAAAATAATTGTGTATCTACTGGAAGCAATCAACAGGTGACTTTCGGAATTTACCAAACACAGTGCTAAACATGTTCAATCTAGAAATCAGTATATGTTTAGCTTCTGCATTTACCCAAGTTGTTGTTCAAGAACATCTCATAATATATAAGACATAAAATTATATATATATTAAGCACAAAGGTTTCTTTGAAAATAATTCAAACTCTCCACAGCCACCACAACTATAAAAAAAATAGGGGAAAGATTTGGCTCATCAAGGTTGAACCTTCCCAGCGGTTTCGCCAATTTAATCCACCAGACCGCTTTTTAGAGCTCTACCACTGTATTGTACGATTCTGCCTATATATGCGACAGTGAATGATGGAAACACAATCATGGTATTCACGCAAACTATGGACATAAACTTTTCGGACAGTAGATTTACATATTAATATTTGCATCGAGCAATTCTATTCCTAAAAAAATAAAGACAAGACAGTTAGGAATAAATACGACAAAAACGCGCCATCTATATGTAGGAAAGACAATTATTAAGCATGGATGTTTCTTTCATAAATAAACTCTTCACCGTCCCCTATGCGGTGAGAAATAGAGGGAGAGGTCTCTGTCATATAAAAACAGAATCGGTGAATACAGTGTTAGAGCTCAAAAAGCGTTTCGGTGGATTAAAATGGCGAAACCGATGGGAGGGTTCACCACTGATGAGCCTAGCCCTCCAATTATTTTTCATCACAGTAGGGATAGTGGATAGTATTCCATTTAAAAAAGAAACATCTGTGCTTGGTATTTTCATTTCTTATATATTGATGGCGCGCTATTGCCGTATAAATAACATCTTATCATCTGAAATGGTCAACAGTTAACGTTCCGAATCTACTCTGAGCTGATTTTCAACAAATCTACATCACTTTCGAATGGCCTATAGTGTAATTTTGAAGTTTTCCTAAGTGTGTGTTGCCATATATTAAATTGAAATGGTTCACAGCGTTAGCTTTTCGAATTCAATGAAATTGGCTTTTAAGAAATAAATTTGTCAAATCAATGAACGACATACAGGTGGTGGGGGTTGATTCGTGTTTATTTCAATATTTAGCTGCTGTTTATATGGTAACATTTGCCTTAGACAATGACGGGGTATTTTGAATTACCGAAAAACTGTCGCAATGTGAAGGTTAAGATTTAAGCTGTCTGAACGCTGTCTAGTTGGCCATCGACCCAGCCACATCGACCGGCACTTCCCGGGAACCTCGACAGATTTCCTCACAGCGAGGTGAACACAACTTGTTCTCAATTGTTGAGCATCTTCTTTACGGACATTGGTTCACACGCTATACGTCTTACACATAAAGGGGAGGATTTACTTCTGAAAGGTGTCTGGTGATCCATTTGGCGAGTAGATCTTGGATTAAAACAATGGGTATGTATTGAGATGAAGGGAGGGGGGTCGCCTCTATTCCAAACATCATTTCCTTCTATCTTATATATGAGCAGTTGGATATACACCATCTAGGGGAATAAGTTTCTTGTAGATATTTATCCTTGGATATGTTTGTTATTTATAACTAGTCAAAGGCCACCCCTCTTCCTTAAAGTAAATGACAAATTACGTGTCCTCTATTGGCCGTTTCTGCTATCTAGCAGAATCAGGTCGTGACAAAGCCACAACATCATCTTTGGAAATTCAGATGGTTTAGGACTATGGTCCTCGTCACTTCAGGGAGAGCTATGATTTAATGAGATCCAAAAGGAATTCGTGTAATCTTCCGAAATTGACAGAGATGTTTATTTGTTGATATGCCAAATTTAAAAGGGTAGGTGTGAGAATGTGTGTATATTTATTTCTATTAGATAAATTAATATTTAAAATATAGAGATTTTATAATAGGATACTATGAACACTTAGTTTCTAGGCTTTCTTCCAAAAATCGAATTAATTATTTTTATTTTTTTAAAATAATTAATTAAAACATTACCAAGCATCTCTCCTTTTAATTGTGCGTCAGAACGATGCACTGTTCATCACCCTAGTGAAAGATTTACTAGTGATGATAAAGAATGAGCCAACACATCATTTTTAGCAAATACAGACAAAAAGCCATCCTGTATACCGTGGTTTCGGGTTTTGGCCTTCATCAGTACAGGGGCGGCTTCGATTTGTGCCTCGTTTGGTACATGAGACCATCCTCCCAAAACGTTATATTGTATATATATTTAAATATTTGACTTATTAATCAGAATATTATAAATATTGTGAAGGGATGTTTTTCACAATGGATGAAACAATGGAAAATGTAGAGATGTGTTTGGAACCTAACTTCTAGCACCACATATAATATCATTTTATTCGCGATCGAACGTTGTGGCCCATTGTATGTATTACATCCCAAACACTATGAGACGCCAACTATTTCTGTCTGAAGCTCGATGTACCATCTCGGCGACCGTTAAACCAGGGAGTTCCTTTAATTGGTCCACGAAGCGTGTCGGCGGGCGTCCAGGTATGTGTCGCTCACAGACGTCTTTCCCGTCAGTATGATGTACTCCATTCCTCTGCGTCGCGCGATTTGACCGAAAAATCTAAAAAGACTCCGTTGTACTCGTCACAGAAGTCGGTCATCTTCAGAAATCAATAGTTGTGATAGTATCGATGTCCTACGCGCTGTTCAAGGTATACGATGCTTTCTTCGTCAGCAATACATCTCGAACGCATCGATTTTCTTCTCTAACGATGTTGTTATAGTCCATGACTCTGAAGCATAAGTAGCCACTGAGAAAACTAGTGCCCGGACTCTCCTTGGTTTTCGTCGTGATACTGTGGTCTTTCCACAGTTTTGTTGGTCTTCCCATTGCTGCTTTTCCCATCGCCATCCTTCTCTGGATCTCTCTCCCCGATCATCCCTTGTGAATTAGGACACCGAGGTAGGTGTCCACTACCCCAACATCCCATGAGATGGCCAGTTTTCCTTTGATGTATGTGTTCTATCAATCATAAAGAGTTGACATTTTCCTGATTTAGCTCCAATCCCACTTCCCCTGAAATCATTTCAATTCTTAAGGAGCAAGTTTCCCATGTCCTGTTCACTTCTTGCAAGCAGGACAGTATCATCCGCGTATCAAAGATTTGAGATAAGTCTGCCCCCAATCAACACCCCTTCTCCGTGACCTTCCGTTGCACTTCTGATTATCCATTCTCCATATATATTGGAAAGAGTTGGAGAACCACATACCTGCCAGAAATGTTAACATTCAAAAAAAAAATGTTGTTTGCTTCAGTTTTAATTTTATGAAAATTGAATTTCTGACATTAACGAGGGATGAAAAATATCGGGAGGGCTTGACTCATCAGTGGTGAACTCTCACAACTATTTCGCCAGTTTAATCTACCACTCCGCGACAACAATTATATTGTCCATTCTGCTGATATGATCTGCAATATTGTGGCGAATAAATAATAAATAATTTATTATAAAACACTTAAAGTTGCACCGCATAAGTTTCTTTTCTGTGAAAAATCAATATTTATTTCAAAGAGAAATATTTACTATTTCTAACTTTTTCGGATGAAGTATGAAAGGGTGAAAATATGAAGAGTAATGGCGAACGGAAAAATAAAAGTGTCCAGGGGCGGGAATCGAACCCACAACCTTCCGCTTACCGGGCAGATGCCATGTCCACTAGGCCCATTTTCTCCGGGGAAGGTGGTGAAGATCTCCAAAAATGGTTAAAAGGGTATGAACGTGTGGCAAGGTACAACCATTGGGACGAAACCTTTTGTCTTACTAAAGTTTATTTTTAGGCAAGGTACAACAATTGGGACGAAACCTTTTGTCTTACTAAAGTTTATTTTTATCTGTCTGGAACTGCTCTCAAATGGTTTGAGAACAACGAAGAAAGCATACAGACTTGGAAGGAATTCACATCTCAATTAGAGAATGTGTTCGGAAAAAAAGAAAATCCAAAATTGCAAGCGGAGAAGAAACTCAAAACACGGGTGCAATCAAAAGGTGAAAATACCGAATTTTACATCCAGGATGTCCTGTGTTTGTGCAAAGAGATTGATCCTCAAATGAGCGAGAAGATAAAATCTCCTACCTCATGAAGGGGATAGCTGAGGAGCTTTATCAAGCAATCCTACCGAGGGATGTAAAGAGCACCGAGCAATTCACTACAGAATGTCGCCGTGTCGAAGCGCTCCGTTGTAGGTGAGTTACCCCAACCAGGTACGAGCGCCTACCAAATGTAGCCTTTCTCTGTGACCAGGATGACGAAAAATATCTGTCATCGCTGATCCGAAAAATTGTCCGCGAGTAGATGCAGCAAGCATTGGGCTCTCCTCAAGAGGAGTCTAAAATCGCTGCCATTGAAGATTTAGTGAGGGAAGAGATTGTAAAGACCTTGGCGCCTATATCAAAACCTACAAAAAGTCCCCCTCAAGCGCCCAGGTCGGTATCAAATTATAAATTCGAAGCTCAACCTAGAACTCCCCATCCTATACATCTCAATATCAGAAACAAGGAAGAAGACGCGACACCAATGAATGGCGGACAACTGAGGGAAGGCTGACCTGTTTCTACTCTGGACCTCCAGGTCACGTCGTCCGCTATTGCCGCGACAGGAAGAGACACAATGAGGAAAGGAGAAATGAATATTTCCAAAGAGAGCAAGACGCAATAGTATTCTACAACTCTCGAGCCGAATCTCAGGAGCCCAACGACGAATCATCGAAGAAATTTTTCAGTCGCTACCCAAGCCCTACCTCATATCCCGGTCGAAACAGACAACATTTCTCACCTGCTAGAAGATCTAGCTGGATGCCCCGCCATGAAACCTAGATGATAGACCATATTGGAGGCGAGGCCGCAAAGTTAGAAAATCCTCCCTTGCCGACAACAGTAGAAATAAGAAAAAGCTACCTTGACGTAAATATAGACCTGCCAAGCCCTCACAAAGAAGATATCTAAACAGAAAGAAGACATCCGCCGCAGACACCTGAAAAGATCCCTGGCCCTATTACTAGTTATTGAGACTGACGACGTAAGTCTCCTGCTGAGCATCGGGTCGATGCTCTTTATAGGAGGAGGCTATGTGTCGAATAAATAATTTATTATTTAATTTAATATTATTCAATGAAAATATTCAACAGATTATAAAAATATATATTATTTTATATTTGTAAAATCATCATTTAGTTGCCTAGCTTGCTTGCTCGATATTCTCTAGCTGTAGATAGTTTGGTTGGTTTGTTAATAATTGTCGACTAGCCGCCGTAACGTCATCAATAAATCTTTCACACCTTCAGATATACAAAGACTTGATTTCGACGCTACAATATTTTGGTATTTAAAAAGGAATTTAATGTTTAGTGTCAATATAGATATTTGATTTTGTGTTGTAGTTTTAGAATAATGACTAAAATTAAACAAAAGTTTCCTGATTTTATGGCACATTTAAAACATCAATACTCATGTTTTATGTTTGCGGGTTTCAATAATTACTAAAATTATGGCAGGTGGAAAGCAAATTAAGTTAAAAAAAGGAATTTACAAATTGTCTATCTGATCGCTCATATGAGCATTTCAGATGGGAGAACGCCATCTAGTCGAACAAAAATAAATTAAACGTTGATTTATGCTTGTTCCATAATATTTGCCCAACTCATTTTCTTGATAAAACAAGAAAAGCCATCCACAAACGCGTTTCGGGGTGTTGACCCTCGTCAAAGTGGTGCAGGCTGTACCTCAACAACCAAAAATTTAGCCTAAGAGGGTTCCTGAGAAATCAAGAAATTGGTATTTACAGCCGAATTTGCGTAATTACGCTGAACATGTGAAAAAAAAAGGAAAAAAATAGAAAAAAGGTAAGGTATATTGATATTAAAAGTAAAAATACCTAATTTTTGGTCATTGAGGTACAGCCTGCAACACACTGACGAGGTCCAATAGCCCGAAACTCATTCGTGGTTGGCTTTTCTTGAATTTTTAAGAAAATAGTTTGGCCAAATATTATGGAACAAACCTAAATAAACGCTTAATTGATTTTGTTCCACCTGATGGCGCTCTGCCATCAGATTGATCAAGATTGAAGGAAGGGCTTACTCGTATTTCTTATTATAAAGAATATTTTCAGCAAATAAAAAAAAATCATTTTCTTTTTATATTCAATGAAATCGGCAAGTAATAGCGTTGTGTGTGGGTATATCATGTAAGATTTAGAATCGGTTAACACAAACAATATTCAAACACAAAAAAGTAGAGTTGATTGTTGAAATTGTTTTATGTAAAAATCACTATTACTATGAAAAATACAGTCGACTCTCGATAATTTGAAATGTTTCCCAGTCCTTTGAAAAATACTCGATAAGTTGAATAAATTCAATATTAATTGGTCCCCTCGGTAATTTGAAGTTGAAGGAATAGTATCTCACCACAAATGAACAATTGTGAATAAATGTACAAATGTTTAAAATAATAAATCACGAATTTTTTTGAAACTCTTGTTTACTTGATTTTATTTATATGTAAGATTCCATCTGAAAATTAAAATATGAGGAAAAATTTGGCGGTGACTTTCTCAAGCCAGACCAGACGCGCGAACTGATTAAACAAAGTTAGAGCTCAAATTTCCCACGCCGAGCGAGACAAGGAGATCTCTTACCCTACACATCTACGCCCTCAGAACCGACACAAGTAACGATTTCTTTGAAGCTTTCACTACTATCGAAAACTCATTGGACAATGATGGACTGAAGTCGCTCACTCAACAAAAATTACGGATTTTTTTTAAAATGAAAATTTGTGATAAATTGTACATGTGTTTAAAATAATAAATCATGAATTTTGAGTTCAAACTCTTGTTTGAGAAAGGGCAAGACCCGAAAGCTCCCAATAAATTTATTATTTTAAAAACTTGTGGTAAGTCACTTATTTAATCTTGTATTAACATAGTGTTTCCCTCCCTCCCTCTTAGTTGTTTAAACTCCTGTTATTTTGAACTCTTGATAAATTGAAAATTTTCTTTGGTCCCTTGAGTTTTAAATTATCGAGAGTCGACTGTATCACCATAAACAAACAAAAAACACTTTTTATGGTAAAAGAAATCTTCCGCCAGGGATTATTCTACAACGATTAAAAAAAGCATGATCAACAACCAACTTCATGTCGATTTGGTCTGGCTTGTGGTCTAACCTGCGGTGGGTTGAAGTTGAAAAAAAGTTATTGAACGGAAATTGAGTCAGGATTATTGGTCTTGGTGACAGTCTTTAGTGGTAATTATGATGATGATTCAGTATTTCTTCAAATACTTGGAATACCAAGTTAAAGGAGGTAAAAAATTAATAGAGAAAATAAAATAGAAAATGGTTGAAAAAGATAAGTATGAGAGCATGAAGGAGAAAAACTAGTTATTTCTTAAAGAGGTTTTAGGATTTTTTATTTTTTAAATATTGGTGATGTACCTTTCCTTTTAGGTCTACCTTTTAGTAGAAAACCAATGGGGTGTATATAGTGTATAGATATGATCAGGGCTGTAATAAAATAAATATGGTTTGAGCATGAAGAAATAGAATGGCCTCATGCTATTTTTAAATGCGCACGCAGAAAGCCCACGCTAAGCCTTTAATGGTCATTTCCATGACAACGCGGCATAAGCAACTACCTGTACTGTTGCCATGGCAACCTTTAGGAGCTAAATCTGTCCTTTTGCGTCCTTGGATTGTCCTTTCATTCTGATTGCCTCGCTCCATCTCACTCCGGTTGCCTGAAGAATTAATTCTAATGCTCTCTTGGCACCATTTGGTACCCAGGTAGCTCTTTTTATCCAAGAGGTTGTTTCTATGTAAATTTGGTCATAGGTGTTAACTCTCCCGTCTAAACAAAAAGTGTAAGAAAACAAAATAAAGGTACCGTCCCAGAAGAGTAAAGGGAATGTAAAATAATGGGACTGGTGATTTTAGCTGTTATGAAATGAATCTAAACTATTCAAAAATACAAGTTAACCAATAAAATCAATATACTGATTTGATGCGCCTCAATATCACAAAGATTAACTATGAAATATTATCAGAAAACAACGTGGAATTCATTTATATTTACAGCATTAAAAAACATATTTATCACATCTCCTCACCTCAATTTGTGTTATTGACTTGTGTCATAATTTCCAGGAGGTCGTCTGTTTCTCTAACTAGTTTACGTGCCTTGAATGTTTCTTCCAGAATTTTCGGTGTCCAGTTTGGCACTTTCGGTTATTTTTGCCTCTCATTTTCCTGTATTACGATCTTTCTCATTAGTTACTTCCGGTGTATTTTCGTTGTTCCGTTATCACTTCATAGTTTCTTGATTCAAGTTCTGCCATTATGGTTACGAGTTACCACTTTTTCTATTATATTTATTCAAATATATGTATAATTGAGGCATGAACTTGTTCTGAGAACTTTCCTTTTCACTGTATCACTTTCGATTTTTTTTTCCTGGATTTAAACTGTTAATCTTGTAGTCAACCATGATCCAACGATAAACTCGGCTGGAATTAGTCCAGTTGATCCATGAAGTGCAGGTCGTATCAAAACTTCCAATGTATCTCTCAATGATAAAAACTCTAATATTTTACGAACAACATGTTATTTTTCACTACAACATTGTCCAAAAAAAGCAGAATGTTATACTACATCGAAAACAGATGGTTTTCTGAGCCCT